TTGGCAGTGCGGCTTCGGGGTTCAGGCGCTTGTCTCTCCGCCTGCGAGCCCACGCTGGCTGAGCCAGCACCTCGCGCGCGTAGCCGCATGCGGGCGAGTGGGCGAATAGCACGCCGACGACAGGCTTAGTGACACCTTGAAAGCATAGTCCCTGTTGTTCTGCACCAGTGGCCTCCGGGTTCCTGTTCAAGGCGTACCTTTGCATGCCCTTCGCTTCGGCACCGTCTGATCCCGGGGGCTTTGCCCTCTCTTGGCCTTGACGTGTGGCCCCTCCTTCTGTTTTCCTCCTTCTGTCAATTAAAGCTGTGCGCGGCCCGCTTAGCTTCGACCGGAAGAGGCTTGCTCGCGACCCGCGGATCAAAACAAGTTTTGCACCAGTGGATCTGTAGCTGAGAAGTCGATGGGCGAGCGAGCGAGCTCCTCTTTCTCCCTCCTTGACGTAGCCATGCTGGCCACGTCCGTGGCGCAAGGCTGGGGATTATATGTTCTTGGCCGTGGAGACTCAATGGCTCCAACTTCTCTGACCAGATCGGGTAGTACTACCAATCGACCAGTGGATTCCAAACCGTGGCGCAGGGCTGGGGATTACAGGATTACAGGTGTTTGGCAGTGGAGATTCAACGGCTCCAACCTCCCTGATCAGATCGGGCACGTAGTCCTACCAATCGACCAGTGGATTCCGAAGGTGCAGTGCGCCGACGGTGCAGGCCTGGCTTCGCATGTGGTCCGTTCGCGCCGAGGCAGGAGCCCGCCGCGGGTCAGGATGAGCATGGTCAACGCTTGCCCAACACGGACCGCGGGATCGCACGCCTCAAGAGTGCACCTGCCGAGTCCAACAACCAAGGCGACCGCGGCAAGGCCGACGCCATGCAGGTCGACGGCGGCGTGAGCGAGGACGAGGAGTCGTTTGCCAAACCATCATCATCACGCAGGTCGGAGAGTCGACGAAAGACCTCACCATGGTGCCTAGCAAGGCAGAGGTTGTGGCAGAGCAAAAGACACCCCCCGCCTCCGTTCCTTCCTCCCTCCCTCCTCCTCAGCCCCCCCCGCGCGCAGAAGGGAACGGGGAAGAGGAGGGAGATGGGGAGGGGGAACAGTAGGGATATGGATTTGAAGGAGCAGGCAGAGCGGGAGGAGGAGGAGGAGGATGAGTAGGAGCAGGAGGAGGAGGAGGAGGAGGTGAAGGAGGAGGTGGAGGAGGAGGAGGAGAGGGAAGGGGAGAGGGAGTGGGATGATGATGATGATGATGATGATGATGATGATGATGATGATGATGATGATGATGATGATGATGATGTTGGTGATGATGATGATTATGATGATGTTGATGGTGATGGTGCGGATGATGACGATGGTGATGATGATGATGATGATGATGATGATGATGATGATGATGATGATGATGAAGGTGAGGGTGAGGGTGATGGGGATTGTGATGATGACGATGGCGATGGTGGTGGCGGTGGTGCTAGTGATGGTGATGATGGTGATGGTGATGCTGATGATCATAGTGATGGTGATGATGGTGACGATGGTAATGATGATGGTTGTGCCCATGATGATTGTGATGATGATGAAAATGATGATGATGATGATGATGATGATGATGATGATGATGATGATGATGATGATGATGATGATGATGATGATGATGATGATGGTGGTCATCATGCTGTTGATGCTGATTGTGATGATGATGATGGTGGTGATAACGATGAGGGTCATGATGATGCTGCTGATGATGGTGATGTTTCTGATGCTGCTGATGATGACGATGATGGGGATGAGGATGATGATGCTGATGATGAGTATGATGATGTTGCTCCTAATGATGATGCTCCTGATGTTGCTGATGCTGATGATGATGATGATGCTGGTAACGATGATGCTGATGATGATGGTGATGATGATGGTGATGCTGTTGATCATGATGATGATGATGACGCTGCTGATGATGACGATGATGGTGATGCTGATGATGGTGGTGGTGATGATGATGATGCTGATGATGATGGTGATGATGATGATGATGATGATGATGATGATGATGATGATGATGATGATGATGATGATGATGATGATGATGATGATAATGATGATTCTGGTTGTGATAATGATGAGGATGATGCCGATGATGATGATGACGAGGAGGAGAAGGAAGAGGATGAGGATGAGGAGGATGAGGTTGAGGATGAGGGGGAGGGGGAGGAGGAGGAGGAGGAGGAGGAGGAGGAGGAGAGGAGGAGGAGCAGCAGCAGCAGGAGGAGAGGAAGAGGAGGAGTAGAAGGAGGAGGAGGACGAGGACGAGGACGAAACAAGGACAAGAACGAGGAGTAGGAGGAGGCCCAGGAGGAGGAGAAGAAGAAGGAGGAGGAGGGGGGTAGGAGAGGAGGAGGAGGAGGAGGAGGAGGAGGAGGAGAGATGAGGAGGAGCGAGCGAGGAGGAGCGAGCGAGGGAGGGTCCAGGAGGAACCAGGAGGTGGAGAAGGAGGAGGAGGAGGAGGGAGGAGGAGGAGGAGGAGGAGGAGGAGGACGAAGAGGAGGAGGAGGAGGAGGAGGAGGAGGAGGAGGAGGAGCAGGAGGAGCAGGAGGAGGAGGGAGAAGGAGGAGGAGGATGAGGAGGGGAATTTCGGAGGTGAGTAAGAGGATGGGGTGCAGGAGGAGGAGGAGCAGGAGGAGGAGGAGCAGGAGGAGCAGGAGGAGGAGGAGGAGGAGGAGGAGGAGGAGGAGGAGGAGGGGCAGCAGCAGCAGCAGCAGCAGCAGCAGCAGCAGCAGCAGCAGCAGGGGGCGCCTCCCACAGGCTCCCCCCGCGATGGCGCCAAGGGTGGAGCCCGCTCCCTCCCAAGCTGGGGAGGGGGAGCTGCAGCTCGGAGCTCAGCATTCTCCGTCATGCTGCGTCTGCTGCTCGACGGCGTCGTCGTCGGCATCGTCGGCCTCCCAGTCGCCTGCCTCTTCGTGGTCGACCTCTTCGTCGTCAGCCTTGTCGTCGTCGTCGTCCTCCTCCTCCTCCTCCTCGTCCTTCTCTAGTAGACTTTCGGCGGCCCACGTCCTCGCCAGGGCCGAGCGTGGCTCGGAAACCGGGCCAGGACGGTGCCCCGAGAGGGCTCGGGGCACAGTTCTTGATCGCATTATCACCAGGGGAGCTCGGGTGTTCGTCCATTGTAGAGGCCTCCGGCCAGTGCCGCCGATCCGAGACGATCCCGCTGTCAGGCGCTTTGGGGCGCTTTTTGTCGCCTCTTGAGGGCCACTTGAGGGCCACTTGGAGCCTCTCAGGGTTTCTTGGGGACTCCGAAGGCCATTTTGGTGTCTCCTGGGCGCCTCGTGGACCGTCTTGGGCGTTCGTCTATCTCCTCAAGCAGCAACGACGCTGACAGATGACCTTCTGCGCGACGAGCACCTTGCAACGGCAAGATGAATACGTCACGGAATACCGTCTGGCGGTGGTGAAATTGCCACAGCGTCAGAGAAAACGGCCGTACGCCTGAAATGACCCAGAGTCTGGGCGTTCGGGTGTGGCCTTGGCATCGCTCGGCCGTGTGCATCTTTTCTCGGCGAGAACCATCGAGGACCATCCTGGACCATCGAGCAAAAAAAACACGCACGAAACAGAAAAATGCACGGGAAATGGACGTCCGAGCGACGGCAAGTGGCAGGAGAGACAAAACAGCGCGCGACGGGCGCTTCTGCCCCGCTTCGGGCCATGGGGCCCTTCACGGGCCGGCCCGGCTCGAGCAGACCGACACGGAGTGGAGATCCGGGGCTCCTGTTGTCACTTTTGCCTCGACGCCGTGATTTCCCCGCGGCGTCTGGTACAGGGGTTTTTGATTCCCCCCCACCTTCTTCTTCCTCAACGTCCAAGCACCAGCTCTCACCCCGTGCCCTCCCTCTTGCTCTGTCTCTCTCACTCTCTTATTTGTCCTTCGGTCTCTCGCCATCTATCTCTCTCTCGCTCTTTTTTCTTTCTCTCTCTCTCTCTCGTCCTCTCTTTTTTTTGTTTCTCTCTCTCTCTCTCTGTATATATATATAGAAATAAATGTCAACATTCCTCTAAAGTGGAAGCATATAGCAAGAAAACATCCTGTCTGCAGGACCCCGGCGGAAATCAATGCCCCGTGGGGCCCGCAGAAGGCCAGGGAGCACATCAGGAGGTTCCAAGATCGCCGCCGGCCAATCAGCGCCTGCGTCTCAGAAATCGTGGAGCAAAGTTTCGTAGTGCACGTGTCAACTGTGCCCCGTCCCTGCCCCCTCCCTCCGCCCTTCCCTCTCGCCCCCGAAATGTAGGTTCGTGGTGTGCAGTAGATGGGGGCCCTGTGGACAGACTACCGAGCCCCAAATGCACCACCAGCACGTACATGATTTGGGGGCCGGGTGCGTGATGAGCATTCCTCTCTAGTCTGCAGGGTTTCTGATACATTGTCCGTCTGCTGTTCCTTGATCCCGCCCTTTTCCACGTCTCATCACCCTGGAGGTCTCTGAGGGTTCTCGGAGGTTCCCGAAGGGCTCCAGAGGCCTCTTCAGGCTGAAAAAGAGAAACTTCAAGAACCTCGATCCTCCATCCCCGCTCATCTCGACCGTGCGCTGCTAGGCCGTCATCCTCTTAATTAGATGGGGAAGCCTAACCGCAATTAGTCTCCCCGCCGCTGGACGATCCCTGCCCGACTCTCACTGCTGCCGGCCCCGCCCAGAGGTCAGGCCTTGCATGAGGGGTGGTAGCTGCTCTGTGCTAATGTGCGGCGTGATCGGGCGATTTGACCCTCGCCCTCTCCACATCCTTTAACTCGAAGCCCGGTCGAGAGCTCCGGTCTCGGCATTGTTCCACTGGTCTTCCTCCTCCTCCTCCTGCTCCTCCTCCGTCCCCCGCCGGGATCCCTGATGCCTTCTATCGTGTTCAGTCTTGCCCTCTTTCTGGGGGCGCGTTGGATTCGTCGGGCGCCATGTTCAGAAACCGGAGCCCTCTTCATCATCCTCTTCCTCCTCGTCCTCCTCCTCCTCCTCGTCCGTAGCCATTTTGGCTCAAGGCTCGAGGGCACAGAGCCCGGCTCGAACTCGGATTCGAGCTCGTCGCCACAGCTCTACCCTCGCCTCCCCTCCCCCTTCCCCTCGCGCCCGCCCTCCCTGCCCGCATGCTCACGGGCAGGAGCGGGCAGCTCAGCAGGCTCGCCCCGGGGAGCGGCGCCGACGCCGAGCCGGAGCACACCCCGCGGGGCCCCCGCCCTGCTGCGCCCTGTGCGCGGGCCGCCGCGGCGGCGCTGGCCTGGGCCGCGGCAGCGCTGGCCTGGCCGGCGGCGGGGCCGAGGAGGGGAGCCCCTGCGCGAGCCGAGGCCGGCGCCCGGCGCGAGGCCATCGTCGAGGCCTCGGAGGACCAGCGCGCGTGCGTCCTCGACGGGGACCTGCGCGTGAGGCGCTGGAGCGCGGGTGCGGGCGCGCCGACGGGGGGCGCCGGCAGCGGTGCCACGTTCGTCTTCGAGGGGCAGCTCTGGTTGGTCCGCAGCCGCACCGTGCAGATACAGGCCGTCACCGCCAGCGGGGCCGCAGGGCAGGAGGACTTCGCCAACACCCTCAAGGAGATCGCCATCGGTGGCTCTTTCTTAGAGAATAACACCCTGCACATATCCGCGACGGGCGTGATCTGGCATTCGGCCGACGGACAGAGGGAGCCCATCCTCACTGACATGGACTCCAATTGGTCGAACGAGCTCGTCGAAGCCACGAGAGATACCTCGGGGGAAGTGCTCCAGCCCGATCGCGCGGTCGTCGACAGGACCGTGGTGCACCTGAAGCTGCCAAATTCGGTGCGGCTACATATCGAGCAATGGCCGGATCCCGCTGCCCACTATGTGAATGTCAAGGTCACGAAGCCAGCTGAGAACGGCGAGGTGGGCTTATGCGTGGACAGTGCAGCGCCAGCGGTAGGGGTATCCACATCGGAAACCCTCTTCCGTGCAGGCATCTACACACGGAGTTGCCCAAGTGTAGAATCTGAGATTTCTTGGCCGTATGGGGGGTGTGAGGGCTTGTCAACTGAAGCGAGCATGTACAGTTTCAGCGCGATCGACCGTTCAATCTCCTGCGGAGTGTGCGGACAAAATCAATTTGTAGATTTCCTGGGGAAGCTCGCCGCGGATTTGAAGAACTTGAAAGAGGAGGAGTGTTCTCAAGGGGTGATATACGGAGTCGCATTTGGTTCTAAGTATGAGGAAATGCTAGATTTACAAGACGATGTTGATACCCAGAGGCTACTCCAGCTTCACCAGCGGTGTTTCTTTTATTTCGTTGCGGCTGACAATGAGTCAAAATCTATCTCTTTGAACCGCACTTCCAAGTCTGGTCTGAGCATTTTGATCCCTGTGCCGACGAGCGTCTTGCCATACAAGAGCAGGCGCAGGAATACAAAGTTATTCAAGATGTATGGAGGTCTTGTCGTCTTTGCATTTGCGAAGCGCCTTGTCTGGCAGGACGCGAAAATGCTTGGAGACCTCTGTCAGAGCTGGATAGGTACGATGGACTATCAGAAGATGTTCACGGAGAATATCGAGCAACATGGCACGTGTGCCTCATTCCGGGCCCTGCCGAATAAACCCGAAACCATGGGAGAAGTACGTTCAGATGGTCCTCGGTTCGAGTACCACTGTTCTTTTTTGGAGGCTGTGGATCGGCCAGGTGTGACAGACGATAGTGAGACACTCGGCAAGCAGTGCGGTCACTATCGTCGACTTGATCCAGAAAACTATCGAATTAGCTTAGACAGCGGCCTGATTGACAGCGCAGTTATTCTTTGGGATATGAGAAGTAAACGGTGCCGTGATTTCAATAGACAACTATCGTGTACTTGGCTGGGCGAAATCCATTGCTTTGCAGATCGTGATCAGGTGAGCTTCCCAGAAGCTCTCCGCGCAGTGGGGGTCTATGAACCAAGTGCGGTCAGCCCCTTGGATTCAGAAGTAAAGGACAAGCTCTTCGTTAAAACAGATGATCCCGAAATTCCGATGGTACACATTGGGAGAAGCAGCTGTCATTGGTACTTCTCGGATGTCAGCAACAACATGTACACCTGCGCCAGTAACCCTGATGTCGTGGCAAAGGGCACCGCGGCAAATGCATAGGGCAGAGCCCGTCGCAAAGGCCATCGCCTGGATTCAGTGCTAGTCGCCAAAGGCTGATCGCACTGGTAGGCTTGGGGGCGTCGCTCGCACAGCTACGGTCCCAGACATCCGAGGTCGCTCCTTTTTCACACCATGGTCGAAACTTGGGAAAGGCACGCCAGGCTTGAACCGAGGACGTCGTCGGACGTGTGGGGCTGTTGCGCAGTCTCTGGCGGGCGGCGGGGGCGATGGCGTCGGCGCGACGTCGCGGCGCCAGGCCGCGTCCGTGGCAGCGCCCTACACAACCAGACAGCGGCAAGCTTCGGAGGTCGGCCGCTATGATCACCAGTCTCGCGGGCGATCTCGTCCTCCTCCTCCTCGCCCTCATCCCCATCGTCATCAAAGCCAGCAGGTCTCACACTGCTAGTGTTGATTATTGTGGTGAAGCCGTCGAGACCAACAAATCAGCATCTTGCCATTATCACGAATGCATTCGTACACACGTCCTCTCCATTCCCCTCCCGATCCTCATCCCCCCACCCCGCCCCCGTCTCCGTCGCCGTCATAGTCCTTCTCAACATCCTCATCCCTCTCCTGCTCATCCCCATCCTGTCCCTTCTGTCCCTCCGACGTCTGCCTCGGATGTTGCAACGTATACAGCAAATGTTTCATGTCCAAAAGAAAAGTGTTGCCCTTGTTGTTTGATGGGTCGGATGGAACATCCCCGATCCTGTTGCTGTAATAGGCCAGCCAGGTGGCTTTGTACAAGTATATTTCAACATGGAGACATGACTGGACGTTGACTGGTAGGAGGAGAGGTAGGGGCCCTCCTCATATCATCTCCGTCCTCACCGTGTCAAGCGCTACCTTGTTCGTTTGAAGCGCTGTATGACCTCTCACGTCGAGCGGTTGCGTGGTAGCTCGCCCGTCGCGGCGCTTTCATGCTGCCCTATGCGTCCGTCGCGCTGCGTTTGGGTTGGCAGGAGGTTGTTTCTTCTTGTCCTCTGGCGCATAGCGGTCGTTACCCAGGCCCCCCCCCCACACCAGGGGTAGCGAAGCCGATCGTACGTGGGGTGGAGAGGAGGGCTGGACCCCCCCGCACATGCTGGTGCCCGCGCGCATGTTGTAGCGATCGAAGCGAAACCACGCCCCGGACGTGCCCCACCCCGCCAAAAAGCGTTCCCGCTGCCCGGGAACCCCCCCCCTGGGTAACGACCGTTACCCGACAATTTTCGGCGGACGCGCGGGCGGGCGGGGGAGGGGTGCCCCGTCTTCCCTGAAGGCAGTCTTTGGTGCGCGTGCTGCGCAGGCTGTCGACACCGAGCCGCGTCCGCGCGTCGCGTTGCAGGGCCCTGTTCCTGCGCTGTCGTTCAGGGGATGTGCGTTGGTCGCGGCTCCTGATTCGTTTCCAGGGAAGCCCCCGGCATTCTGTCCCTCGCGTCACCCCCTCGCGCGCGCCGCCAAGCGGAGGAATCAGGCTCATCTTCAGCACCATGGCTGCTCCGCTTCGGCTTCGGCCCTGCACTGCAGCGCGAAGGTCGGGCCGGACGAAAGGGGGGGACTGGGAAAGGGGGGGTTACGAAATCTGCTGCATGCAGCTGGTTTCGGCCCCGCCGCCGGGCCCATTCCTCGATGAATGGCCGCCTCCAGCGCCGGGAGGCGCCGGGAAAATCAGCTATGTGAGCTGATTCTCAAACCCCCCCTTTGCTATCCTTCCCTTTCGCCCGGCCCGATAAGAGCGCTAAGCACGCGAGTCCACATCGCATCTCCGCTCTCCTCCTCGCCAGCCACCAGCCTTCGCCTTCGGCTTCTGGATCTATTGCAGCCCCACTGGGTGAGGCGGTTGCGAATTACTGGACGCGCAGTGGCATCAAACTCCCTACCAGCAATCCTTCATTCTCCCCCTCCCTCTCCTCCCCCTCGCGGTCCCCATTTCCCTCCTTTCTCCCTTCCCCTTTCCCGCATCCCCTCCCTCGCTCGTCTGGCTCCCGCTTTTCCCATCCTCACTTCCCTCTCCCTCTCTTCCCGTTCATCTCAGGGAGGAGGGGGAGAAGGAGGGGGAGGGGGAGAGGGGGAGGCAAGCTATGTGCGCTCGCATCATATCTGACGTCCTACCCTTCCCTCCCATCCCTTGCCGTGGCGTAGATCTCCTCTCCATTTGCACAGTCGGATGTCGAGCAGGGCAATGATCGCGAGAGGGTACGTGATGCATGGTAGAGCACGGCATGGCATGGCGTAGAAGAGCACGGCAGAACGTAGCATGCCATAGCATGGTGTGGAATTGCGCAAGGTGAAACATTGCATCGCAAATCGTTGCAGCGCAAAGCACGGCATCGCACAGCGGCGCAGAACACAATACCGCATAGCATGCCATGGCATGGCGCCAGATTCTTTGGAGGGCAAGTGGATCGTCTTCGAGAGGTCTGGGCCAGTCTGGAGTCGTTGCTCCATGTCTAGCTCCTTGTGCTCCCAGAAAGGCTCCACAGAAGGCGGGGCTGAAAGAGAGCATCACCTGGCTCTGCTTTCAACATCGCCTTGCTAAAGCAGAAACGGGTCTCCCGCTTGACACTTCCTGAAAACGACGACGCCCCAAAGTGGGGGGGGGCTTCTGCGGCCCAAAAAATCAACGAGTCGACACCGAATGTATTATCACTTCCGATGGTTTTTTCGGGGGGGGGCATTTGTTTTAGATTTTGGGGCCTATTTGGAAGGCCAGCGCTGCAGCGGGAGCACGATTCGGAACGAGCGGAAGCGCGGACATGAGGCCAGCGTTGCAGCGGGAGCACGATTCGGAACGAGCGGAAGCCAGAAAATGAGGCCAGTGCTTCAGCGGGAGCAACATTTTGAAAAAACCAAGCGAAAACCCGTTTCTCGGGAATCCTGTGTGTAAGAAATCAGTACGCTGATGGGGGGCCGGATATCTTCTGTCTTCCGGAAGTCATCAGGGGAGAGAGGAGAGTAATATTCATATCGTGTACTTGTGGCGAAGGTGGATAGGAGGAGGAGGGAGAGTAGTCAGGGGGCGAAGAACGGTATAAGATAAACGTTTCCGCCGTCGGGGACGCTTGCCCCCCGGGCGGTTGCAAAGTGAAAACTCCCACGGTGCCACGTGGGGGCATGAACTTTCCAGCCGCCCGGGGACACGTGCCCCCGACGGCGACAAAGTTGATTTTACACCGTTCTTCGCCCGCTAGAGTAATTAGGAGGGGGAGGGAGAGGGGGAGGAGAGGCCGGCGGCGGCGGTCTGACGCGCGGGGCGGGTCCTGTCGGCCCAGGTTCTCGGACGCGCTCTACGGCGCCGGGGACCGCCGCGAGGAGCTCCTCCTCGTCCTCGTCCTCGTCCTTCTCCTCCTCCTCCTCCTCCTCCTCCTCCTCGTCCTTCCCCTCCTCCTCCGTTTCCTCCTCCTCAACCTCCTCCTCCTCCTCAACCTCCTCATCCTCCTCCTCCTCCTCAATCATCCTCCCTCTCCTCCTCAATCCTCCTCCTTCTCCTCAATCCTCCTCAATCCTCCTCCTCCTCCTCCTCCTCCTCCTCCTCCTCCTCAGGGAACGCTGTGCCTCCTCCTCCTCCTTCTCCTCCTCCTCAACCTTCTGCTCATGTCGCTTGCTCCTCCTCCTCCTCCCTCCTCCTCCTCCTCCTCCTCCTCCTGCTCCTCCTCCCTCCTCCCTGGGACATGCTGGCCACTGGAATTGCCCCCGCTGGTTTTAATGACTCAATATTCTCCTTCATACCGAAGGGCACTGAGGACGACGGTACTACAGTCTGCACGCGCGCTCCCGACGGGCTGCGCCCGCTCTCCCGCAAGAACACGGACAGCAAGCTCTTCGCGTCTGCTCTCAACGAGCAGATGCGTTTACCTGTGGAGGAACACGCACACGACATCCAACAGGGATTCATTCGCGGCCGCAATTTCTGCCGCAACATCGTCGTCATGGACGTGCTCGGGCGTGCCGCTGGACTCCCCCCTGACGCAGGCGAGCGGCGTCCCGTCCAAGTATTGTTCGACATTGCGGCGGCTTTTCCGTCCCTCGGCAGAGACTGGTTGTTCACATCACTCGAAAACTTCTGCTACGACCAGGGCTTCATGAATGCGGTCTCAGCCCTTTACCACGACTCCCACGGCGTCATCCTGCTTGATGGGGGTCACCACTACATCTGCCCACTTGCTGCGGGCGTCGCCCAAGGCTGCCCCCTGTCCGGCACTGTTTGGGCCATCGCCATGGACGTGGTTCTTCGCGCTCTGGACGCACAGCTTGGCACCGCTGATACTGGTACGGCAGCTGCATGCGCTGATGATATTGGCCTGCACCTCAACCGTCTCGACGACCTACCGCCGCTGCACCCCATTTTCGGCGCTGCTTCCGACTACGGGCACCTACACCTGCACCCCAAGAAGTGCCTCATCATACCCCTCTGGACTACGACGACCCCGCAAGTCCAGCTGGAAGTCCGTGAGCATCTCGCTGCTCACCTCCCGGCGTGGCAGCACTTCAGCATCCAAGGGCATGGCTCGTACCTTGGGGCCAAGATTGGTCCCGAAAGGACCGCGCAACTACAATGGCAGGCCCCAGCTGGGAAATGGTGGGAGCGCATCGTTGCCCTCTCAACCACGGGTGCCCCAACGGATGTTCTGGCACGGCTCTACCAGGTTTCGTGCATCACGGCCTTTGGACACCTCATGCAGTTCTTCGAGCTCCCTGCTGAGGTATTCCGTCGGGAAATCCATGCTCTTCATCGCGTCCTACGGCTGCCTCCGTACACCATGCGCCTCACGGACATACTTTCGTTATCTACCTGGTCGCCGTCCTGGGCCCGTACAACTTCGCGTCCCTGTGGCGCGCGGCAACCTTCACGATCACCAACTGGCGGCCCCTTCATCAAGCCCTTCAAGACAGTGCGATGGAACACCTACCGGTTGTGGCATGCATCGAGGGCTCACGGTCACCACCCTTTTGGCAACAGCCTTTGTCAATTGTGCAGAGGTTCGCGCAGGCCCAAGATGGACACACGACGTTGCCTGTTAAGGTGAACTCGTCGTCCTTGCGCGCCATTGTCCGCCAAGTGCAGACACAGCTCCAGGACGAGAGCGCGGACGGCTTCCGACCACGTCCGCAACGATTCGTGCAACACGCTCTCACTATTCAGGCTCACCCCGATCGGCTTTGGTGCACGATAGCGAAGCGGATCGCCGCTTGGTATGGTGCTTCTGTTGTGCCGCATGATCTTCCAGATCGTTGGCTTCGGCTTCGTGGTCATCTCTGTGAGATCTCGCCTGCGTGGCCGTGGGCAGTACTCAAGACGGTCACTGGCGGTTGGCACACCTCGCACAGGATGCATGTGCACCCGGACCGCCGCAGTTGTGCTCTAGGGTGCCCTGACGCTGATGCCATCGGGCACTACCTGGTATGCCCACGATTGTTGCACCTCACGTGCCTCCCTCGCACCTTCACCCACGCCACCCCACTCGCGCGGTTG